TCGGGAACTTAGTTACATTAAATGAGAATATTAATTTAATATCCATGAAGTGCAGGCCGTTCATTTGGCTTTGCTTAGTTTCTTTCCTCACCGGTACTCTGGGACGACTTCCCGGAGGGTGCGCTTATTGGTGGACAACTAGGTGGTCTTGCATTTTCTATATTCCATGATGACCAAAGCGTCCAGTCTCTTGAGGCCCTTATGTTAGTTGCAGGTCTTTGCACAACCCGCAAGCTCTTCCTGGAGTTGGAGTACATTCATTCAACTGAGAATGTACTGCCGGACATCTTTCCCATATACGGACCTTGGAGGACTACTCCTTGCATCCACGTATATTCCAGGAGGTCGCCCACAGCTTTGGGGCCTATACTGTGGACCGATTCGCATTAACCAAGGATGCCCTCTGCACCTAGTTTGACACTCAGTACTAGGATATTAGAATGGTAGGAGTTGATGCCTTCCAACAGAATTGGAGTGGCACCAAGTCCTGGTTCAATCCCCGTGGAGCCTCCTTGTGAGATTCATGTCCTTCCTACCCTTATGAATAGAGCTGGAGGCGGTGGTGCTGGTGCCAAACTAGCTGAGCGCGGTGTGGTTTCACCTACTCCAAGCGATGGCCCGGGCGGAGATTTTTATTTCCCACCAGGCCAACCTCTTTCTTATTGGCAACCCGAGTCTACCGGCATCCCTCCCGCCCCCGCGATGGAATCTACGGACATTTTATGTGTGCCCATGGTGGCCGACGCCCCATTATCTAAGGCCGAATCAGAGGAAGCAGTGACCCCTGCCGATGCCCTGGCCTCTCCACCGACCACTCTGCCTTTGGACCCCTTGTCACTGGAGTTGGTAGTGGAGGATGGCTCTCTATATGGCCCTGATTTGGATAGTGTGCTCCGCGATGATCGTAGCTAGATGGAGCACTAGTTCTTGGCCTCCTACACGGAGACCACTTGGCGGACTCTCCACGTGAAATTTCATGCTTCCAATGGCTCTGCTATGCGAATGGCTTGGTGGCGCTGCCTGCATCATGGGCCTCAATCCACCATGATATTTGCTTCTTGCGGGAGGAGGGCAAGGTGGAGATTTGGTCCCTTCCCCAATACATTATGGCGATTTTGATGATGCATTATGTGGCGGGTCACCTGAGCTTTTCTATCTTTGACCCCATCACCTGCATCCTCTCCCGTGCTTGGCATTGGGCTATGCTGGCCCCGGTGCAACATCACTGCCCGGTCCCCATTTCTGTGCTTCTCCGCATCCTCGACGTCAGCCTGACCACGGAGGATGGGCCCACCCTTCGGGCAATATGCGTTGTGCACCTTGACTACATCTTCTTCAATCGGGTACAATCGAGTCATTTCATTCTCATGAAGGACATTGGTATCAATGCGGAGGTGATCGTCTTCTGGGAACGCAAGTCCAAGCTTCGCCCAGAGGAGACCCCCGGGTCGCGCTATTGGTCATGGCCTTTAGGGGTGCCCCGGAGCCTCCGAGCCGGAGGTGGTCGCCCTCTTATGCCATTGGATTGCCTTCCGCGATTGCGCCTGGGCGCAGACGGACCAACTGCCGTGCCTTTTCTACCAGCTGCCTGGCGAGTCCACCCCTTTATCCAAGATAGTGGCTTCCTAGTTCTTGGCCCTTCTCATGCAGTTTCCGGACCTCGCCCAAGAACCCTTTACACATCACAGCCTGTGCGGAGGTGGTGCATCCAGCTGCTCCACTTTGGAGGCCATGGAGCGGCAGATACGGGACTGGGGTGGGTGGAAGTCGGACGTGATATGGTCCTACATTGATTTTTTTCGTCTATTTATGGAGTGGGATTTTTGTTTGTTTGGTTGGATGACCATCACTGCCCACAACCTGCATGAGCAATTCGGGCACATCTTCTGTCTCGGCGAGGCCTCAAGTTCCCGTGAGAGTGACTTGGCAAGTATTGATGGATGGGTACCTCGGGTATGTGACATTGACGGTTGTTTGTAAGTATAGCATAGCCATGAGGATACATGACAGGGTGGGCACAGGAGACTGGTAAGGCAGAAAGACTTCTCTGCATATCTAGTCGAGGGAATAGGCCATGGTCGGCATGTAGGAGCCACGATTGTAGCCTTCTAGCAGCTGCCGGCTCGCAGCGCCATCCATGTCTCACCCACATCTGTGACCCTTTTGGTAGATGCGGACCTAGAGCTGCAGAAATGATTGGAACTGCTCAGTCGCTATAGCTTGGGTGTGAATGCAGGGGAAGATGACCTCCTTAACATCACTTCGGGTAACTTATTGGGAAGTCAAGTTGCGCCACAATGTCGAGTCAGGTATCCGTCAAGTAGAATGTCCAAGAATTGTGAGCCAACACACTTGTTGAAGGAAGCATTGTTGGCGCCAAGTATTTTGCACCAATATGGTGTCCTCCACCATGTGGCGAATGTCAGAGTGGACGGGTAGCCATGCTCCCTGCAGAAACTCCACCAGGATGTTGGCACACAAATGGGGTAGCTGAGCATCTGGAGGGGCGGAAAAACTGGCCCTCCTGATATTGTCAGCGGACAGATAATTGCAAAACCACAGCGCTTGTTCTAAAGCCACAGCTCCGGAGGCGACGACTTTGTGGGAGGAACGTGACAGAATCCAAGAGCTAGGAAGCTGCTACGGCTGCAAGTTGTGTCAAAATTGGTGAAAACTGAAAGAAGACCAAATATCTATGGGAGGGCACCATAAGTGACCGCCTCTGTGCAGCGTATCCACAAGTCAGGTGCTTCCATACATGCCAAAAGTGGCAGTGGTCCACTTTCACATCTTGTCCACCACAGGTACTAGGAAGCCAATCACCAGCGGGGAGCTAAACATGGACTTTCGAAATGGGCCGTCGATTTAAGTCATTGGCAAAGCCCATCCATCGTTGCCTTGAGCGGGACCTATGAACAGGGATGTTGATTCCATTTCCCACACTGGCAACAATCTGGGGTGCTGAAAGAAGGACAAAAGTCCAAAAACAAATAGCCCAAGATCCAGACGTCAAACTTGCAGGTTGTTACATACAAGAAAATTAATCATGGCACATATCAAATCCCCCTCAGTGCAAAAGAAGGCCACGTTTTAGTTCTGTGCTTGTTTCCGTCTGCAATCTTCTCATTTAGCAGTCGATACATGCAAGTTCGACCGAAATTTCTGCAGCCTATGCAGCCTCCTTTAAGATGGACGCGACCAAAATCCAGGTCATTCTAATTGTTTACAGGTTGACGCCACAGTAGAATATCGACCTGATTCTGCAGATCCCAAAGACCTTGGATCCCGAAGGTTCCATCTTCACTTCGCCACGCTGCCACAGTCTGCTCATCACAAACCCTCTGAAGACCGAAGTTCAGTGTTCTTGTACTTAAGTAAGGTAAATTTCATACTATGGTGGCCTAGCCGGGTAATGCAATGGATGCAGAACGCATTTCAAGCAAAGACCCATGTTCCAACTGGATCATGTTATCATCCACGCAGTGCAAACGCTGTGACGTTACGGCACCACGAACACATTAATATTAGACGTTGCTAGGTGGGTATTGTTGCTCCCGGGACTTCTTGAGGGGATTCGGGCACAAGCCCCTGCACATTTTCGAGACTGTGGGTTGGGTGGGATCGACATGGGAGGGGTTGCACGGAGGATACGACCATGTGGCTGCGCCCCATGGATGTGCCCACACACCCTGCAGTCCAGAATCTCCTGAAGCGATGAGCACCCAAAGCGTTATGAATTCAGGCCAGGACGTCACACATGGAAACAATCACGGCTGCTACAGCCCGGCCTCGACGTCACTTGTTAAGCGACAAACAGGTGAAAAGGCAGTGGTTGGTCATTGCTATGTTCCGTAATTCAATCAAAGTACGTCACATTGAAGAGTGGATAGCCTTGCATTTTGACATGCACATTCATCCACAACTAGTGCTGCAGCCAACTGTGCCATCAGCAGACACGTTGTGATGAGAGCCAGCTAGGCACAGGGCGAGTTTTTCCTTTTTTCATTTTTTTCAATTCCAAATGTATTGCACTGTGATACGAACAGAGGAGCTCCCTCACGAATCCTGAAGCACAACAGGACTTTTTTCCCAGTAAGAACCAATGTAGGGTCCAAAACAGGGCGAGTGTGTGCCAGGAGACAGGTGCCAGACAAAGAGTCAAAAGCCCATTGCAAACGGCCCATTGCTGTCCATGGTCATCGACATTTACAAGAGGGGCATGAGAGGGCAGCATGCGCTGTTTCCTTCCAAAATCTAATTTCCTTAGTTCGTGTTCCCAAAGCGTTCTGCATCCCCAGGTCTCTCTTATGGACAGCAATAGTGGCCACATATACAGGTGGGCCCCACAGCAGTAACGAAGCACACAACCCACAAATCGGTAATTTTCTTTCTCCAGCACAACACCTGCCTAGCTCAGCGCAGGGCATCAGGCATGAGTGCTTCATGCAAGCCGCCCAAGCTGACTGAGCTGGCACTACTATGTACACTAATCTATCTGCCCCGGCTGAAACAATCCAATTACATCCACATTGGAGCTCTGAAAAATCCTCGTGCGTTGAATGTCCAGTCCCCAACTATTCATAGCATTTGGAAGCACAGTGGGGACCCCACATGAATCAACAATGAATCAACATCATAGCAACCTGCCATCTCCTCCAACCAAGGTTGGGACCGCCATCCTGACCAGCAGTAGCATACATGCACCGTCCGAAAAGGATGGCCTCCATTCTAATAGGCAATAATCAACAGGTTTTCCAATTGCTGCTGCAGTTTGTTGATTGGCGCAGTGTTGCCACCATGATCCCCAAACATACGACAGCATATTGATGTCTACCCCCTCCGCCATACGTCCAGTCAAGAAAGCATTGTGGTGGCCTGCGCAATCCCAAGGAGTCCACTGTCCATGCACAATGAGCGGCGTCCCTCGAAAATCATGTGCAGGAGTGGTGAAAGCTTGCACCGGCAGTGACCCAGAGATGCCTGATCGACTGCCCACACTTCTATGTCGTGGCGGCAATGCGAGACAAAACCACGGCCCACAGTATTGACATGCAATTGACATAAAGAATGCGAAGCGGAGGAGGGACCATCGCAAAGTTGATGATGTGTGCCAAGGGCCAAAACTTGTAGTTGATCTTCAGGGTGGGCACCAGCTTTGCTTTGATTGTTGCCATCGCCATGTGCGCTTGGGACTCCATCGACCTCAGGGATGTGTAAAAGAGGACCGTCCCCAGGGGAGCCATGAAGAGCTGATCAGCAGCAGACTTTATGACGACAGCGATGGGGTGCTTCGGGATGTCTGGGAGGACAGTCTGCAGGCCAGTGCAAGACAAACTTTCTAATCACAATCCACAAACCAAGCCACACAAATTGAGAAAACAGATAAATAGGACATACATCGGGCAACCCCCTGTTAGCAATGCACTGCATGACATGTTTCATTTCCTTGCAAGAACGAGTCCTTCCCCTTCAGAAGAGTGTTTGGGTGCTTTGCAACTGAGAGTAGTCTCTGAATCTCCCTATCTGAAACCTAAGTGAACAGCCCTATGCCAGCAAATGTGTGCACCTTACCCACTGGCTAAACTCCACTGCCCAAGATCCACCTACGCCTGTGGACCAGCAGTTTGATATGGGATGCGTTAGGCACACGTGGTGGGCACACCACTCGTCACATTTGCAAGCCACCACACTATCACCTCTATGGCTACCCTTGCTTGATGACAGAACTGGTGGTGTGCTACTGCAGAACACCAGCAGCAATTGTGTATTCCTCACATCTTATTCCCATCTTCCCTCACCAGCGGGGTCCAGGCAATATCCCCCACTCCCACCCACTCACCGGCTCCATGACCCATATTTCTCTGCAAGTACACTGCCAACACTCAAAAATGCACCTGAAAACGGCCTTATCGCCAAAATTCCTGCTTTGCAAGCGCCTTCACAGGACCAAGCCGAGCGTGGGACCTTGCAGGCGACGATGGGCATCTGCCCATCCAAAACACGTGCAGGCCGCTCTCTCATTCGCTCATTTCTTGCGGTCACTTTGCGGTCATGCTTCCCTGCTGGCCATCCGTCCGCTCGCACACACGGGTGGTCCAAACAGTCCCCCGGCCCCAACCGCCTAGAGCAAACCGATTCACAAGGTTCACAGCCACTCCGCGCACTCACCTTGTCCAGGGCCTGGAACCAGACGTGGGACAGTGGCCCTGCAATGGCTCCCCCGAACACCGCCATCCGAAACGTGCGCCCCACGTCGTACTTCCTGGCACCGGCAAGCCGAAGCCGGGCGCCCGCGGACAACTGGGCCACCATGTCTCCGGCCACGAATCCCACCATCGAGGTCAGGGACTTGGTCAGGAGCGGCCGCCGGCTCAGCGACCAGCGGTAGCCGCACCACAGGTGCTCCATCGGGCTGCGGTTCGAACAAGTCTTCGCGGCCAGCATCGTGGCGGGGGCACCTGCTCGCGGGCGTCCGGGGCACAAACACGGGGTCACGATGCGCGAGGTGGCGGCCGTGCGGTTTGAAGATCACAGGGGGTGAGATTTGTACCAGTTCACAAGAGAATCATGGCATCGCGACCGGCTGGCGGCCGGGGGCCCTGGGACATCCGGAGCTCAAACGCCGATTCGCTATCCCACACAAGGTGGCTGCGCGGTTTGAAGATCGAAGGGGCTAACATTTACAACTCTTCAAAAGAGAAACAGGTCATGCACGGACAACCCCGTTGCAAGCACGTGCGCGGGAGACTGTCTTCCCTGCTGTGGAGAGATGATGCGCAGCCTGCAGTTCAAGACGAGAAGCGCACAGCGAAAGCACCGAGGACAGCAGGAACCAAGCGTCCCGGGGCTGGTGGGGAGGAGGAGCCGACGGGGGGTCCCCAAAGCAGGGGCGACATCCCGCCTTGGTGGAGTCGGCCAAAAAAATGGCACACATGGCGATCGGTGCCCAGAGCATGGTCGGTTCCTTCCGCGAGCGACGAAACGCGTGCCCGCCGACCAGTCGCCGGCACGCCAGGGATACGAGGGCGCTTCGCCCAAAATTCGAATCCATTTGCAGTTCCCGGGGCGCACGCGTCCACACCTGGGGCTCTCTTGTGTGCGTGGGGCGTGGGGGTGGGGGAGGGGGAGAGCGGCCGGGTCCCCGGGCAGGGGACCGGGGGGGCCGGGAGGGCAAGGCGGGAAGGCGGGTGAAGACGGTTCCAGACGGGGACAGGGAAGCGCAACACCCGGCCTATGGATATCCCGTGGGGGGACCGTGGGCGAGGGCGGCCGTCCCTCCCGGGCCGGGCGGCCAGGCTGGCGGACAGGTCATTCGTGATCCGTGCCGTACTTGTGTACACTCGTTAAACACGGGTGGCCTTGCCCAAGAAATAATATTACTGCCTGCACCAAATCGGTGACTGCTTGCACCAAGTCACGTGCACACTTTGTCCTAACCTCAGTTTTAGGGTTAGGTTTAGTTCAGGGTGAGTTTTAGGGTTAAGGTTAGGGTTAGGACAGGTCTAGGTTTAGGGTTAAGGTTTTAGGTTTTAGGTTAGGTTAGTTTTGACGGAGTTGGACATGATGTGCACGTGACTTGGTGCAAGCAGTCACCGTTTTCGTGCAAGCAGTCACCGATTTGATGCAGGGAGTAATTTTATGCCCCTTGCCCAACCCGTTTCCAGTCAGTGAAGTTCAATCCGTAACTCGCACTCAGACTCGCACACACTGAGCGACATTCTTAACATGATTAACGGAAATT